TAACAATCAGAGCTGTAACTGTGTATCTATCTATACAATAACAATCAGAGCTGTAACTGTGTATATATACAATAACAATCAGAGCTGTAACTGTGTATATATACAATAACAATCAGAGCTGTAATTATGTATCTATACAATAACAATCAGAGCTGTAACTGTGTATATATATACAATAACAATCAGAGCTGTAATTATGTATATATACAATAACAATCAGAGCTGTAACAGTGTATCTGTACAATAACAATCAGAGCTGTAACAGTGTATCTGTACAATAACAATCAGAGCTTTAACTGTGTATATATACAATAACAATCAGAGATGTAACTGTGTATCTATCTATACAATAACAATCAGAGCTGTAACTGTGTATATATACAATAACAATCAGAGCTGTAATTATGTATATATACAATAACAATCGGAGCTGTAATTATGTATGTATACAATAACAATCAGAGCTGTAACAGTATATCTGTACAATAACAATCAGAGCTGTAACAGTGTATCTGTACAATAACAATCAGAGCTTTAACTGTGTATATATACAATAACAATCAGAGCTGTAACTATATATATATATATATATATATATACAAATAAAAATTAAGCTGTAACTGTATATCTATACAATAACAATCAGACTGTAACTGTGTATATATACAATAACAATCAGAGCTGTAACTGTGTATCTATGCAATAACAATCAGAGCTGTAACTGTGTGTCTATACAATAACAATAAGAGCTGTAACTGTGATTCTATGAGGTAATAATAACAATCAGCGGGCAACTTCCTGCTTTGGAGTAGAGCTTATTACCTGCCATCTGGTGCTGGAAATATAAAATATAATAATAATGGAGCTTTCCTCGAAGGTTCAATTATAAAAAAAAACATGTCTCTAGGTAGTTTTTGTTTTTAAAACCACAAAATATAGTTACAGATTTCAACGTTTTCTGTGAAGTATGTAGAAACCTTCAGGTATTCGTAACATACAGCTATATCTACCGAGTAACGAGCATGTTGGCTACTCATACATTGATCATCTAGAGGTCTTAAACGAGATTGTTAAAGTATGTGGACTGAAGTAGTATATGTAGCTTATGAGGAAATTGAAATTCATTGATTTATGTTATGCAAATTGTTATATGTTGAACTGAGGGCTAATTTGAATAATAGGGAAATTTCCGTGGTTCTCGAAATGCGAATTAAAAACAAGCAAACAATGCAATGCTTGATGTGGAGATATCCTTAACATTCGATGACGTGGAACCCACTTTAAAACTAATAACGATGATGACAGAACCTTGCCGAAACGTTATACATTTGCTGCTATGTTAAAGTTATATTAAAGTTTTTCTTCATTACCCATTCAACCATTGTTATCCTTAACATTGTTGTCCCTATGTGTATTTGAATTTTGAACAGGATCCCTGTATTGTTTTGTCGTCTACCAAAACTTTTTCAATAAGTGGCTTAACACAGTATTGTTGGTCATCCTTCACAATATTTTCAATAATTATCTTAATACAATATTATTCGGCATTTAATTTACCATATCATGAATTTATCATTAATACAAAGAAAGTCATAGTGAAAAACAATACTTGTAGGCCAATAATTACATTCATACTTATTAATTAAAGCAGCACATATATCTTCATATTTGACTTGCTTTGCATTTCTTTTATCAATATGTGTGTTTAAGTTGTTACTAGGAGAAATGTATTTAAACACTTTTTCATGTTATAAAACCATACGTTTTATTAGTTCAATGGATAGTTAACACACTCTTATATTACAGTTTCTACAGCTGCGACCTCAGCAAGTGAAAATGAAGCTGGGGATACGCTGGTAAGTAGCATCCTACTTTGTTTTTTACCCTCGTCTGCCTGGATAAAACAATTTACACAAGCTTAACTGTTTACGTTATACAAAATGAGTTGTTTGAAATGTCAATCTTAGCTTGTTTAAAAAAGGAAGATTAATTGTTTACATAGTTTAAAATACAATAATATTTGTTCACGTTATTATTGAGAACCAACAATATCCTCTTCATTGTCACTTCAAGATGCTTCGTTCTTATCTATAATGGTCATGATTACAGGCACTTATAATGTTTATAAAGGAAAGCAAGTTGTTTCCAATGTTTAAAAAGGAATTCAAATATTTTCATTGTTAAAAAAGAAAGACAAACTTGTTACAATGTTTAAGGTACATAGTTTGCATTGTTTGAAAAGGAATGAAGCATGTTTACATTTTTAGAAAGGAAGGTTAATTAATTACGTTGTTTAAAAGTGATGGAAGCATGTTAACATTGTTGAAAAAAGAGAGGGAAATTGTTTAAAAATTTTAAAACAGGAAGGCTAATTGTTTAAGTTTATAGTTAAGTTACAGTAATAATGGTTTACATTCTTTAAAACTAAATGTAGTTTATTTACATTGTCTCCAAAGAGGAAGAAATCTTGTGTTTGTTATGCCTCTTTAAAAGAAATCTATTTATTATACAGTTTCCAAAATTGCATCTTTAGAGCTAGTGGTGTGTGAATCATAATATTTTTACGTTTTCACACGACAGGCTGGTAGTGCAGGTTACGTGATGGCTTATCCCATGGAGGAGAAAATATTAGAAGAAAACACAGCTTCGGAATCTTTAGGAGAGCCAGCATTTGCAAAATCTCAAGATAAAGACAGAATAGATGAAACTCTACTACTGCTTCTGCCATCAGAAGAAGAAAAAAACAATATTCAGGGAAATAACGATGATAAACCTATGACTACGGGCGTAATTGAGTCCACGACAAGCGTCATACAAAACATGCCTTCTCATTCCATGCCATCAGCGACAGCACCTCATGTAGAGATTCAGGAACACATACAACCCAAAGAGGAAGATCTACAAAAAATGTTATACCATCGACCTCAAGAGCTATCTTTTAGTCACAAATCGAAACCCATCCCAGATGAGAAACCTGAATTGTTACAGTTTTCTCCATCTCATCCAAAATCTAGCCCAAAACGTCCACTATCATTTCTTTCATTTTTATTAAGAAATAACTTTCCTAGACTTCCGATGGGAAGGCCTGATATTTTACATAAAGCAGCTTCTCTTATTTTGGAACGATCACCAGTTATTCGTAATGACATAGATGACAATCGCGTACACAGAGAACCTGATGACGATGATATAATTATTGAAGTTGTTGGTAATGAAGGTAAGAGACCAATAAAACCAAAAATCTTACCCTTTGGACTTCCACGACCTCTGCCTATTGAGAATCAGCAATACCCTTTACCTCGTCACCCATTTCCTGAATCAAAGGCTAGACATGCAAGTTTACCATTTCCTCAAAAACTCGGATCTTTACGGTCGCCTAATCCACAAATGCTACCCAGCTTAACTGTTCCTGAAATTCATATGAATCAGGAAGGCCCTGCCACTCCTTTATTACCTTTAACTCCTTTTATGCTTATTTATTCTAATATGCTTTTAAACTCCCAATCGTCACCATTAATACCTATGCCTCTACTGTCACCTCCAAATGCCCCTCGTTCATTTCCAATAACCTTCTTGCCACCTCAACATGCTCCATTACCATCGAAAAACATTCCACTCTCATTTACAATGGCTTCTATACCACCTTCAGATGCGCTACACCCATCTCCAATGGCTTTTCTCCCACCTCAAAATGCTCGATTCCAATTTCCAATTGCTCCAGTTTCACCACCAGATTTTTCACCTAGACTTCCAATGGGTCCTCTCCCACCTTCAGACGCTCCATTCCCACCTTCACCGGTCTTTCTGCCACTTCCAGATGCTCAATTCCCACTTCCAACAGCACTATTGCCACCACTAAATATTCTACCTCTTCCTTCAATGGTTCCTCAGCCACCTCCAAATACTCCTCTCCCACCTCCAATGGCCTTCATGCCACCTCAAGATGCTCCATTCCCATCTCCAATGGGTTTCATGCCACCTCAAGATGTTCCATTCCCATCTCCAATGGGTTTCATGCCACCTCAAGATGCTCCATTCCCATCTCCAATGGGTTTCATGCCACCTCAAGATGCTCCATTCCCATCTCCAATGGGTTTCATGCCACCTCAAAAGGCTCCATTCCCATCTCCAATGCCCTTTTTGCCACCTCAAGATGTTCCATTCCCATCTCCAATGCCCTTTTTGCCACCTCAAGATGTTCCATTCCCATCTCCAATG